TAACCTACGGATGTGAGAGCTGGAACTTAGGGAAGGCTGAGCGAAGGAAGATCGATGCTTTTGAGCTGTGGTGTTGGAGGAAAGTTCTGAGAGTGCCTTGGACTGCGAGAAGATCCAACCAGTCCATCCTCCAGGAAATAAAGCCCGACTGCTCACTGGAGGGTAAGATACTAGAGACAAAGTTGAAGTACTTTGGCCACATCATGAGGAGACAGGAAAGCCTAGAGAAGACAATTATGCTGGGGAAAGTGGAAGGCAAAAGGAAGAGGGGCCGACCAGGGCAAGATGGATGGATGGCATCCTTGAAGTGACTGGACTGACCTTGAGGGAGCTGGGGGTGGTAACGGCCGACAGGGAGCTCTGGCGTGGGCTGGTCCATGAGGTCACGAAGAGTCGGAGACAACTGAACGAATGAACAACAACACAACGTTCAAATCCTCTCCAGACCACAAATATTAGGTGAACTTGGGCCAATCGCTGCCTTTTACTCAAAACATCCATTCATTCATTTCCCTGTTCTCTCCTCAGAATTAGGAAGCTTCCTTACAGGGTTGTTGTGAACATGTTAAACTACTTTTGACATTTGGATACAAATCCTCTTGGGATTTGTTTTGGCAGCTAGGTTCTGCCACTGGCTATTGTGCTGACAATCGAGTTTGAGGGCCAAATTGTTGTTTGGAAAATTAAATTGCCTTAGGAAATCAAAAAGCCAAAGTAACTCCAAGGGCATACTGCCTTGAATTCCTCACATAAAAAGTAAACAAACCTAAGATAATCTTCAAGCTTAATTCACAAATTCCTAAATTATGCATCCTTTGTGTTCTAGTTGCAAAAACCAAAATTAAAAAATTACAACCCATCCACAAAAACACTCGGGGCCTATTTACAGTTATCTGGAGCTTTATCCTGAAAGTTCTGCAATATTCGGAAACAAGTGTCTCTTTTACATTTTATGTGTGAAGTAAATAATCAATTGTGTATTCATAGTAAATAGAAATGTTCTGTGAAATGTAAATGAGCCCTGAATTTATAGATATTTACCGACAGGCTGCAACTCAGAGCTCATAGAAAATATTATCTTCTGGAACTTATCATATAGGATAGAGGAGTCCATGATTATACATCAGTATGGTCTCTCATTTTGCTATTTGCTTTTGCTCTTTTTTCAAGTCACAGTTGCATTGAATTACATCTCATATTGGCTTACATTCATGAGTAATCAAGTTTTAATAGAGCATAAAGTACAAGATACAAATAGTATGAAAGAAAAATACATGGTGAAAAATTTCATATTGTCTGTCTTCTGTAAAGAATACAGTATTGCTTTTAGGTTGATTTGGAAACAAGGCTGGGTTGGAGAGAAGCCTCCAAAGCAGGAGAGTGAGGCTCTGCATGCGCCAAGAGCAGAGAGAGAGAGGAGAGCCATTGCATTTCCTTTTCTCCTTCTCCCTCCCTTCTTCCCCCACCCCCTCTTCCATCCCTCTTTCTCTTTCAGTTCACCCCCTTCCCTCCCTTCCCTTTGGAGATGCGCTTTCCTCCCCCTTCTCCCCCCAATATTTGCGCACGGAAAACAAAGCCATATGCTCTCATCAAAGGATGCAATGTTTCCAGTTGGCCACATGATAGCGTCGTATAATATAGAGTGTTGGATGAGCGGAGGTCGGATAACTGAGAATCTACTATATTCCAGAATCCACAACTGTCCACATGGGAAGCTGAGATAGTACACCTTTATTTTTCCGATGGTTCAATATACACAAAATTATCAAAATATCATATAAAACTACCGTTAGACAATGTATATAAACTGTATATGAAACATCAATGAATTTCATGTTTATACTTGAATCCCTTCTCTGAGATATCCCATTATGTACATACAGTGATACTTTGATTTAGGAGTTTAATTTGTTCCTTGACCGAGCTCTCAACTTAAAACACTCTTATCACAAAGTGAATTTTCCTATTGAAATGCATTAAAATGCTATTAATTTGTTCCAGCCCCCCAAAATCCCCCCCAATTTTTTGTTGTTTGTTTTTAAATAAGAATGTACTTTATAAATAGCAATGTATAAATGCACATTCACATGGAACAATAAAAAGATCACCTTTAAAATGGTAAAAGAACAAAGTTGTGGCAAGGAACCCCAAAGCCAAGAGGCAGAAGCATCATTTTCTTCATACTGTACTCATTTCACCCTCTCTCCCTCTCTCTCTTCATGAAGCCAAATATACCAGGAATAAAAACCACACAAAATCAACTAACCCAAAGTTCCTCAAAGTGGACAAGAGCAAATTGGAAAGCAATCTCCCAAAGTGCACAAGGCATGGAGGCATGAGACATGGAGGCTGCCCCTTGATTATTACTATTGTATTTATTTATACCCCGCTTTATCTCCCCCGAAAAGGATTCAAAGCAGCTTAACATAAAAACGTTAGCACAGCATTTAAAATATACAAATACACAAACATTGAAACAGAATTAAATATAAACAGTATCAAAAGATTCAGAGTTAAAACCTTTCAAACATATTTGATGCATATGCAAAGCTAAAAACCACAACCCCTACCAAATTGATCTTTAAATCCTTTATCTTTAAAACCCTTCCTGAATAGAAAAGTTTTAGTCTGCTGCTAGAAGGACAGTAAGGAGGGGTTCATTCTGGCTTCCCTGGGCAGGGAGTTCCAGAGTTGTGGGGCAGCCACACAGAAAGCCCTCTCTCTCGTTCCCACCAACTGAGCTTGAGAGGGAGATGGGACTGAGAGAAGGACCTCTCATGAAGATGTCAGGGCTTGGGCAGGCTCGTACAAGGGCTGTGGTCGGCCAAATTTCCTGGACCTGAACCGTCTAGCACTTTAAAGGTCATAACCAGCACTTTGAATTGTGCCCAGAAACAGACTGGTAGCTAATAGAGCTGCTGCAAAAGAGGGATTGTCTGCTCCCTGTAGCCAGCCGCAGTTAGCAACCTGGCTGCAGCTCAAACCCGAGCCAAGCAACAGCTTTTATCTCAAAATGCTCTTAAGTTGGGATGGTCTTAAGTAGAGATTCCACTGTATATGCTTCAACAACAACTTTTTTATGGTTCAAAGACCCTTTTTAAACACTGTATATGCAAATAGAGGCACTTCAAAAAGAAACAAAAATTTCCAAAATCTATAACAGTTCTGGTTCCAAGCATTTTGGTTTAGGCACACTCAACCTGCATGCCCATTTTAATATTAAAATGTATCTAGCAAACCATGATTTCACATGATAACAGCCCCAGCTCAGTTTCAATTTTTACATTGTTTTGACTACATAAAAACAACTTAAAAGTATTCTTCATCCATTTGTTTTTCAGATAATCTATTTTCAGTTTTAAAATTGACCTTGATGGAATTCTAGATAAGTGGTTTTTCAATTTAAACTCCCTTTAGTTCAAAAGAAATGGGTCGTTCTATTGACTATATTTGTTTTCCTTTTTAACAGTCATTATTTTAACTGATTTTAATTCTATTGGCAATATAATTGATTGTAGTGTAATGAATCCTGGGTTGAGAAAAAGCCAGGATATGAATAAATAAATAAATGTAATACAATTCTGAGCTGAATTTTAAGCACATAGAACTTCTGTATTCATCATAAAATACTGTTTCTGTAGAAATTTTGTTTTCCCTTTAATGGTTACTTTAATGTGAAGTGAGGGAGAAAAAGAATTGAAGAATGAATGGAAAAATGTAATGATAGCCTTTATAAGGTTGCTTCTATCTTACTTCATCAATTTGGCTTGCTTATGTTTAATTTGGAATATATCATTGGAACTAACTGGTTTTGAAACAATACATTGTTCCTTAGATGAATATGATATTGCTGATCTTTTTTCTCTGCAGTGGTCTCTATATAAGTTTTATAGGGCTTCAGATTTCAGAATACTTTGAATTGGTAATCATGGTTACAGTCATTTTAAAAATCATTCCATGGCCATGAAATATAGCTATCCAACCTCCTTCCCAATCTGCAATACCAAGAAGAGACATGAAAATGCTTCTCATTCTCCTTCCTTTATACTTGCAATTTTTGCTCTTTCCCCTTTATGGATCCAAGGTAAACACTGGAACCAAAAAGCTGGATCACATAGTAGAATGGCGGAAATTTCCCGGGTGAATCATTACCATGGTTCAAATGTACTATTGTTTCCTTTTAATGTCCCAAGGGAAGTATTTATTCTTGTACTTACGTTGCATTGGCCACATGGAAGTCTTATGAAGCTCCCAAATCCAGGGACAACATGTTAAAATAATTATAAAGGAAACCTGTCTGGTAGGCTTGAGCCAATTGTTTGGAAGTTGGAGAATGCTAAAGCCAACCTCCTATTATGTAAGCCATGGGCAGTGGGGGGTGGGGTACTTATCTGGAATAAGGTTTTACTGCCTTCTTGGAGTCTATACCTAAGAATTATACTTTTGATCAATCACATCAGAAATTTCTGCTTATTTTTTCTTGATAAAAAGAGAAAGTATAGCATTGCATGTGTCTAATACAGAGCTTTCCAAAACGTTTCATTAGTGACACACTTTGTAGACAAAGTAGTTTAGTTTTACTAGCAAATTGGATGTTAAACCAACCCCTTATAAGAGATAAGGACACATACATAAATGGTAATGGTGAAATTATGGGACACCCAGCATATCTCATGAAAATCTTTCAATATATTTACATATATGAATTATTGCACATTTTACATAGACTCAGAATTTTCTTGTTACATTCATGTGACAAACCTGCACGAAGCAGCTGACATACTAATCTGGTCTAATAGTAGCAAAGACACAAAACTCTGGTCTAATAGTAGCTAAGGTGGGAGGAACATGGAGATACAGACTTTTTTATATCTCTAGGAATTTCTGGGTCTTCCAGTCTGACTCTGTGGCCAACTTCTGCTGGAAGTTGAACACAGAATCTCATTGGAGGATGTAGAAGCTTCTAGAGAAGTGTTATCTCTAGCAACCTTTAGGTCCTCCAGCATGAGTGGAGGATTAGACCATGAAGTGACACCTACAGCAGGGTTCCTCAGACTTTTTGAGCAGAGAGCCAGTTCATGGTTCCTCAGACTTGAGCAGAGAGCCAGTTCATGGACCAGACTATAGTTTGAAAAAAAATGAATGAATTCCTATTCAAACTGCACATACCTCATTTGTAGTGTATAATCATGAAATAACAATACAATATTTAAAACAAATAAAATTTTTATAAACTTACCAGTACTTCCACGAGAAGTATGGGTTTGCTCTTGACTGATGTGATAGTCAAGTTAATTAGGACTGTTGCTGTTGTGTGCCTTCAAGTCATTTCAGTCTTGAGGTTTTGGGTGGGAGCTGGGTAAATGACCTTGGAGGGTCGCATCTGGCCCATGGACCTTTATTTGGGTTCCCCTGACCTAGAGATTCCTAGGGAGAACATTTTTAATGAAATCCTGAATAATCAAATCTGCAGAATGTGGAAGGACAACTATATTTTTAAACTACTTTTTAAATTCAATAGCGGTATATTATAAGTTGCTTAACTGTGATATTATTTTATAACTGTTTTGCTTACTTTTATCTTCAGCTGTTTTATTCTGTTCTGAGCCATTCCAGTTTTGAGAGAAAACTGGGGTAAAATGATGAAATAATAAACTAGCCTGGTTGAGAAGAAATGTGCAGCTCTTTCATGTCTGCATCTTCTACACTCCAAATTGTGTCTTGACTTTGATGGAAGTGAATTGAGGAGTTGTGATGTAGAGATTTGGCCATGTGATGGATAATGTCAGTTTTCTGCTTGAGAATCAACAGTTTCTTTTGTTTTATACTGATGGTACTGAAGTGCTGTTCTTCTTGGGAGAAGAAGAATGCAACTACATCCAGTGGAAAGTCTAGACTGCTGCCATTTTCAATCCCAAATAGCCTAAATATTTGCATGCATTGTAGGAGAACAGTGCTTCTGGGACATTGGTATGAAGAAAAGTATCCTTATTGATTCCCAAAGGATTTCCTTGTTTATTCCCAAAGGGGCCAATTTCTATTAAATTTTATGCAGACTTGTAAGTACACTTTCCACCATCCTGTTTCCATTTTTAAAATATGTCTCCTCACTCCCGCTCTCTATATAGGGAAAGAAAAAGAGAGGAACTTGTTTTTTTTAACAAGTTGGTGGTAGGACATGTAACAGGTTGGTGGTAGGATATGTATTTTATATGCCTCCCTGTATTTCAGTAGAAACAGGCTTTTTGGGGAATAAATAAAGCAGTCATATTTATGTTATTTGGGAAGAAGCCCTTTAGAAGTCTTGCATACTAGTCAATACTTAGTATATTTGGTTTTCTTTAATTAACAAGCATTCTTGTAAGCATTTTTATGTTGATGTGAATGTTTTTTAAATATTTCAGTGGAGTGTCCTGTTTGTGGTGTTGCTGTGCAAGAAATGCAAATAAACAAGCACCTTGACAACTGCTTAACACGAGATGAGAAGAAAGAGAGTCTCCGAAGGTAATAGACATGAGTGAGTGAATTCTAGTGAATGTTGCTAGTGCTTGATACCATGAGATTGTTATGTACTAGCACTGTGCCATCTGCTTGCTCTTATAGACTGTGAACAAAATTAAAGATTCACATGATAAATTTGGAGTAAATAAATGTAGTATCCACAAAAAACTGCTGCTCAAATTTCTTCAGGATTGCTTTTATTTATTGGGTAAATGAGATAGTCTCTTATATAGCCATTTTAAAAAGTCAAATGACTTTATTTACTTTGATTCAGAATCTGAAGCTGTATTCCTTTCTTAGCTAGATTACCGACCTCATCACACTAGAGAATGAATTCATTTTAAATCTGGTTTCTGCCTCTTACAGAATTCTGGGGTTTGTAGTTTAGTGAGGCTGTTAAAAGCTCCTCCCTAAACTACAAACCTCAGAATTCTGCAGAAGGCAGAAACCGGCTTTTAAGTGGATTCATTCTCCAGTATGATGAGGTCCTACCATGAAACAATTAGTTATATACTTACCCTCTTTTTAAAAATCCTCCATAAATCCAGTTTTTCTTCTGGTTGAAGTTCACAAATCCCATACTGGGAGGAAGACAGGATAGAAATTAAATAACTAAAATAAATGGGTCATTTCCTCACAAATCCTTCAACATGGTGCAACATCCTAGCTGTAGAATGATCTGTATGAAGCTTTAGAAGAAAGTGGTTGGCTTTCTCTCTTTATAAATCAGTACAAATTTAAAGGAAGTTTAGTAAGAGAGGTACTTCTTTTGAAAATTTCAGGGGAAAAACACGTATTTTTTTCCCCTCTCAGAAGTTTTCAGGTAAAAACTTAAGTGACTTTAGAAACATAAAACAGGGATATACCACTTGCTTTAGGATAAAATCCTCTTAATATATTAAAAGTGCAGGTTACAAATTGAATTTAGTTTTAAATTTTTTATTTCTTTGTTAAAAATGGAGTTACAGAGAAATGCTTGTGGTCTAAAGAACGTCTTTGGCTATGCCAGTTGAAAGTGCTGGCAAAAAAACCACTATTTGAAATTATTTTGTCTCCGCCGGATCTTTATAGTGCCAAGTAATCAGAACAAAGTCCATTTCCATTCTTAAAAACAAACAAATGAAAAAACTGAGAAATGTTTTGATACTGTATAGAAACTTCCTCTTACATTTAGCACTTTTTAGATTGGGGTGGGGGGCAGGAAAGCTGGACACTGAAGAAAGCTGATAGGAAGAAAATCCTGTCATTTGAATTGTGGTGCTGGAGAAGAGTTCTGCAAATACTGTGGACTGCTGAAAGGGACAACCACATTGTTCTGTATAGTTGTGCATAGAAGTCATTTCTCCTGTTTCCTTCGTTTCTTTCAGTACTTCGGGAGCACGAAATGGGAAGTCCCCTCCCCACACGAAAATCAGCTCGATACGAAAGCAAGCTGGAGCCAGTCTCGGCTCTAATTCTGCTTTTGTCTGCAGCCGAGCACATCCCAGAACTTGCCTCCTTTTCTTGGAAAGAGAGTGCATGTGTGAATGAGTAAGAGGCGCTCGGCTACAGGCACTGGCAGGCTCGCATGCTTTCTGGATCTGCATGGCACACATGTACTCTCTTTCCAAGGAGGATGCATGTGTGGCATGCAGGCCCAGAAAGCCCGTGCACACCCGCCAGTGTCTGCAGCCAAGCACCTCCCCTAGAGCAAGAAACTGAACTTGCCTCCTTTTCTTGGAAAGAGAGTACATGTGTGGTGTGCAGGCCTAGAAAGCACACACCTACCAGTGCCTGCAGCCGAGCGCCTCATAGGAAGAAGCCTCTTTAAAGCACACAGGTCAAGGTTTACCCTGAATGCACAACAATTCTCCTTAGAAGCAAAGAAAACTAAACTGAGACTGTTGTACTTTAGATATAGCATGAAAAGGCTACCTTGTCTCCAGAATTGCAATCATCATTCTAAAAGAAAATATTCCATAACCTTAGGGAGAGAGGGAATTGGATAACTCCTCTTCCCTGAATTTGAGTTTGTTTTTTCCTCCACACCTTTTCATCTAAGTTCAGTACAGATCAACATAACCATAGTAGTGTATCACCTTGCTTGTTCAAATTGTAGGCAGCATTGTTAGGATAAGTTGATTCAGATTTTTACCTTTGGTCAAAATCTCTAAAGGCCACAATTTTAGGAATGTTATTGCTGATTGCAGTTTTCTCCGCATTAGGCAAGAAGCAATTGTAAAGGCTTTAGTGCGTCATTATTTTGAACCTAATGATCCTAGATGAAGACCTTATTAAACTATGCAGCAGTGAAGTCATGTAAGCATGTAATTGGAAATCTCCTAAGCAACCTTCTAAACAGCTTTCTGCATGAGTTATGTGCCTTCAAGTCATTTCCAACTTACCACAACCCTATCATAGGATATGCAAACATAAGGTTTTGGGCAAAGGCATAGGTTGAGAGGAGTTTATTTGGTCTAATTTGATTGAGTGGGTCTTAAATGGTTCTCTTCCTCAGAAAGAGTTTTATAGTGGTTTAAGTAGTTTTAGGGAAGCATGAATTGAGTTGTGTTATGAATAGAGCAGAGTGGTTTATCTCGTCTTACCGTGTGAAAGAACAGAAGGCTTCTAGGGAAATATAAATAGGCAGCACATAAATGGGATGAACAATGTCAAGGATTTTTTTTTATTTACTTAATGAAACATGCAGGTTGTCTGTGGAGCCTAAGCTTGTTGCTAGGGAACGTTATCAGTGGCATTTGTTGTAAATTGCTTTGAGTGCCCATGGCAGAAGAGTGATTCATAAATCTTAAAACTAATAAATAAATAATAGAGCAGAAGGGATTGAACACATTTGGGATTGAACACATTTGTATAACAGAAGATGCTTTAGTGTTAAATTAGTCAAGTTAGTTAGGGAGTGCAGGCACATGGGCAGTGATTTATTTGACTGCATTTGCAGATCATGCTAAGTCATAGTTCAGCACAATATACATGAACAGGAACATGATACCTTGAGTCTCAGATTTACACATTCCATGTCCTGTGCAGCCAGAGGAAGCAATTTGGAAGCTTCTGCTTTTAAATAATCTTGATTTACTCTAGTCCTGTACCTACAGGACTAGTATTGGCAGTTTCACCTACCCTCATTCAACAAGATATGTCTTCTCTAGGAATTTTCTAGGTTCTCCAAGTGATTTTGTGCTGTTCTTTCACCAGATGTTACTATAGAGTCAACTTGGAAGATGGTAACAAATACTTACAGGGGTCAACTCTAGGAATGTTCTAGGTCCTCCAGGGCCACTCTGTTGTGACTTCATTTCAGTAGGGTATTCTGTTTTCACAATAACTTCGGGAATGTATCCCTATTGATAGCGAGGTTGCACTTTATTATCTGAAACTGAAACTGTGATTAATTTTACCATGTTTAATTTAAGCCAAGGATGGATAACTTATGGTCTTTTAGCTATTACTGGGTCCTCTGAGGGGCTTTTATGTCGGAGATGGTGGTGGAATAGAAATAAAGTTATTATTATTATTATTATTACTACTCCAACCACCAAGAACCCGACTGGTGAACGTCACCCAGAGAACTTTTTCATTGGCCGTCCCATGACTGTGGAACGAACTGCTCAACAGCTGTATTCAGTTAAGTCAGAATTCAAGACTCAACTGAATACATATCTCCTGGCAGGCCTACCCATTCAATTACTCAGTCAATTTTAAACTGTGATTTCCAAATTTCCATTCTATTTGTATTGTATTTTAGTCCTTGTCCTGTGTGTGTGTGTGTATAGTGGTAATGTGTTTTAATATATGTATTTTATGGTATATATTTTATGGTAATGTGATCTAACTGTGTTGTACCTTGCCTCAAGGAGAGGTGAATAACATATAAATTATGATGATAATGATGATGATTTAGATTTCTGTTTACTTAGTGAGAGGAGTGTAGTGGAGGGAAGATAGTGAGCTTGAATCTTGCTGTGGCTTGTTCTTGCTTGTGCATACCACATTAAACTCTAGTTCAGTATGGTTTGGGAACACAACCTGAAGATAACAATTACAAAAATGGGTCAATATTGTCTTACTACATCATCTATTTGAAAGTCTAGAATTTGGTTTGAGTCCCAGAAACAGAATATCAAGGCAAATTTAACCCAAAGCAGGTCTAAAAAGATTAAGGTATATACACTGCTTTTAAAAATAGAAATTCTTTGTACATTTATCAGATATATCCTTTCCTTTTTACGCCTTGTTACCACAGTGGTTCTCTGCTGTATCTCAAAGATTGTATCCTTCATTAAAAGGAGAACATTGTGGTTGAAAGAGATCGTAACAATTTCTAAGCATTGGTAGGTGGAAACTTACAGATGAGAAGTGCCAGGTCTTTTTTCAAGACCTTCCCCTTTCCTCATGAACATTTGGGCTCTGAAGTGATGCAGGTAGCTGGCTTGGGAAGCCCTACTTAGGTTTTTCGTTTTTGTCTTTGGGGCTGCATTAGATGTTTTTCATAAGCTTTAGCTGCTTTCTTCCACATCCCTGTTTTCTTTGGCAGAAACATAGTTCATATAAGCAACATGAAGGATTGTGTGTGTGTGTGTGTGTTTGTATGTGTCTATCTCAGGCATGGGCAAGTATTGGCCCTCCAGGTGTTTTGGACTTCAACTCCCACAACTCCTAACAGCCAGTAAGCTGGCTGGGATTTCTGGGAGTTGAAATCCAAAATATCTGGAGGGCTGAAATTTTCCCATGCCTGGTCTATCTAACCTTTTAACTTTTTTTGTTACTTGGTTCCTGTGGCCTTAGTTTGTTTTTTATTTTGGGGGAAGGGAGATGGAAATCTGAGTTCAAACCAAATGAAATTAAAATACAATGAAATCAGGCACCTGTAGCTTACTCTTAATTTAGTGACCAACACAAAGTTATCTTACCAAAGAAGGATGTGTTCCTACAGGCTATGTGCTGCAGTTAGCCATGACTATCCCATCTTTATAGAATTCCTCATATTTCTTTTCTTGTGG